TGTAAAACTTATGAATATTTTAGGTGGACAAAAAGGCGAACTAAGACGTGGACGCCTGAGCTTTTCCACATTTATATCGCTGTGAAGCAACTGTAAACTCTAGAGGGAATTTATATCTGTAACTGAAACCAGTTCGATTTTGTTTGCTAACCTGGTTAAAATGTCATATTTAATTATCTTAAAGATAAATCGTCCAGCTCAATTCTTTGTAGGGGTAAGAGGTGGGACCATCATCATCATCATCATTACTTTTTTTATCTTAAATTTTATAAACGGAGTTCAACCTTTTCTGAAGTGGTTCATACCTAGTGCAAACTTTTCTGTTGAGTGATTGAATTATATTTAATGTTAGTCTGAGTTTTCCTGATGTGATTTAACTAGCTTTTAACGTACACACTACGAAAAAGTAAAGTAAATTTCGTTTCCCTGAGACCGGCACATATAAGCGGCCCTTTTGACATAAGAATCAGTTGAAAGCAACGAGAAAATCAATTCAATCAAACGTTCTCTTTGTCGACTTGCATATCCGGAGTGATTTGAGATTTGGGCGTAATTGTTTTTGTAAACAAACACGCCAATCGCCGATTTAACGTGAATAAAAGCTCAATCTCATAAACAAACTATACCAAATGATAAAAGAATCATTCCTCTACCTCATAATGTTATTAGTTTTTGAGATTGAGCTTTTATTCGCAAGAAATCGGCGATGGACGTGTTTGTTTACAAATGCAATTACGCCCAAATCTCAAATCACTCCGGATATGTTTCGGTTTGAGAACACTTAATTTTACATGAAATGTTTATTTACGTTCCATGATTTACGTCCAATATAGATAACGTCTCGTGTAAAAGTAGTTATTTCTGAGTGTGTAGATCCCAATCCCCTAGACTCCTTCCTCGTTCTTATTAGATTCACATCTTTTAAACATTAGGCTGAGAATTTTAAGGAATGAACGTTTGTGTTCATACCTGATGAAAGATTTTTTTAATTAAGCACAATTGTTGAGAAAATTAGGTTTACATCCACAAATGTACGCAACATGTTGATGGGACGAAACTCTTCGGCTTTAATCGTTCCAGCAACTTTTTGAATAGGGACCACTAAGGATTCCTTCCAAATTTGTGGCACATGTCCAGTTTGTAATGATTCAGCATTAAAATTATCTACTCTAGCCGATTTTCCTAATCAAAAACAAATAACTCTAAGTTCATCTAATGTAATTGGGTGAACAACTTCAAATCTACAACTACTTTTAACTGGCTGTTTTATTTCGTCAGGTTCATTGACCAATTCAATGGATTGATTAATCAATGAAACACTGTCTACAAAATAATCATTAAACTTAGCTGCAATTAGTTGTTCTGACTGTTCTAATGTGTCATTAAAAGTTATGAACCGCCGTTTGCAATTACTAGGTTTTAATAAAGATTTAAAAAATTTCCATAACTCTTTGCTGTTTTTTTGATGCTGATCAATCTTCCTTTGAACATATTCATAACGAGTTTTCTTTATCGATTGTGAATACTAATTACGAGCAATTGTGTACCTATTCCAATGATTGTCATTATTTGATCTACAAAATTTTTTGTACCATTTGTCCCTTTTCCGTTTAAGACGCAAAAGATCCAAATTTTACCAGATGTTCGAGTTCTTCATAGAAACAAACTTTTGCTCAACTAGTTGATTGAGCTGTAGATTCATCTAAGTTATCGGCCGCGAATGGAAAATCCACGCTCCTTTCAACAAGATTCGAAACAGCTTGCTTAGAATATTTCCTCCAGCACTTCAATTTTACAAAATTATCGTTATCGTTACCATGGGCTAAGGCATTAATAACTAAGGTCTCATGAATTAATATTAAAATCACCAGCCAATATATTTAATTTACTAGAATCAAGGAATGTCTTGAGCCAGTTCTCTAAAACTTCAACAAAATGCTGGTCACTAGAACTGGGAGAATGATACATAATTACCCATCTGCATGCCACGTACAACTGTAATGCCCAAGAACCAGTTGCCATCAATAACTTCGTTGATACGAAGGTCGAATTAAACTGATTATTTGACATAAATAGGAACACCACCAGTGTGTCTAGAATATGATAAACAAGCAGAAACAATATATCCCGGAACACTATACTGATCAAAAGTTTCGGTTTCTACAATATGAGTTTCAGATAATAAAACTAAAAGAGGACGTTTTTCCTCAACAATCTAACGTAATGCTACGTAGTTTGTTGACAACCCCGCAATATTCAAATACAACAAATCGAATTGATTCACATTCCTGGAACTTGGCTGCTATTTATTGAAACGCAAGCTGCTTTTCTTCTGATCAAAAAGTCTTTTATAGAGCAAACATTCCGATCAAAATGCGGCATGGTTGACGTTCAAGTTCATTTTACGTTCTTTATTTATTTTCAAACAATTAATACATTTCCATAAAGTTGACGTACATTCCGACGTTTTGTGTTGTGGGCTGCACCTAGAGCATCTCTCACAATTTTTGCAATCCATGCTCTTGTGCCCAAATTCTCCATATTTGATGCATCTCAACACATTAATCGCGGGAACTATCGAGCACCGATCGGTGTCAAGTGTCGGTTCACTTCGGAAAACTTTCTACACTTTTTGAAAAGCTAGTTGACCTAAACAAGATTGCGTCCTTGCCGAATGCCAAAGCAGTTAACAAGTAAAAAGCTTGGATTCAGTTCGGAAATAGTTAAGTCAATGCAGGAATCCTTGGATTAATTTTGGAACGGGATTAAATCAGCTAATGTGGCCTCACTCCAGAAAATTAGAAACCAATTCTTTCAAGCTTGGGCTCGGGATATGTTGGATCACTTCAGGAAAATTTTGACAACTTTAAAAAGGATTGAATAACATAACAGAAGTTTAGACTCAGTTAATAAAATGATGATGACTTATTCGAAAGTTGGAACTCACTTCAAAAAAGCTAGGACACAGTTTTGAATCTGCTTTTAAAAGTGTTTACTCAATGAGGAATTTCTTGATTCGTTTCTGATTTGGTCTCAATTCTAAACCAATTTTAAAAAGACCGGATTTTGCTTGGAAATTGTTGAATCACTTTAGAAAAAATTGAATCATTAAGTATCATTGCAGCAGGTTTGTAAGTTGATAAATTTACATCGAATGCAAAAATCGGGCGACTACTGTGGGCTCGGCACATTGTAACAATATCGGATAACGACCCAATGAAAACGGTTCTTGGTAGCGACCCGACTGGAACAAGGTGAAGATGTGCGCAGTGAATAAGGTTTACTTAGTAAGTTGCCAAACAAGATTAGGAATGATGTTCGATGAAATCCGTTTACAACAACTGAAACCGGCTGATCTGATTTCAAGGACCTGGCATGCTGTACTGGTCTAGTACCAATTTATGTAAACATTTTGTAAAAGAACAAGGTGATATTCTACAACATAATAAAATCTAGAAAAGCGAGTATCAATACCCAAGCGATACTCGAGAACAAAAGAACTATCCTGTTCTTTTTATCGGCTGATCCGTTTCCTAGACGAGTGTGTCGAAGGGAAGCAAAATCGGAGCAGCTCCAGGAGTCCGTGATGATCCGTGATATCGTCATCCGACGCTTTCCAAACGCGAATATTGTTCTACCCGACATGGTTACGAATAAAAGTTTGTAAACAACAACGTAACAACAATTAATCACTTTTGAATCTACACTTCGATACCCAGTGCATGGAAAATAAATAGGGGAAATGGCTCTAATGTTGACCTATGGATCTAAGATTGGGCCCATCGCTAAAAATCTGCTATTTATCAATTTTATCTAGATGAACGCGTCATTGGATCGGTACTGGATATTTTTGGTCGCTATTGAAAATGTAGTCGATTGCTGAATTTATGTATGCACACTTAGATTTTGTTTCCGTGTTCGGTAAATTTTACCAAAAGCAGAACAGCTGAACATTCGGTAAAACTTTGACCTTCATTTTAAAGGCTTTTGAATTTGAAAATAATATCAAAACATGTTCAGCCTTTTTTAAATGATAAAATCTTGTCATTTTAGTGGAGATTTAGTTTCAAAGTAGCTGAAAAGCAATTGAATTGAAGTGCATAAATTTTACCGAAAAGTTCAGCTGTTCAGATTTTGGTAAAAGTTATCGAATTCGGCGATAATTTCTAAGTGTATGGGCCTAAATTAGGACATTACATCCATTTCCCCTTATGCCCTGAAAGTTTTTTATTTCGCCTTTTGTGATATTCCAAACCTTTGAAGGGGGGGTTGACAAAAGAAAAACTTGAAATTTGTTACAGCCTAATACACTGAAGTCTTTTTTTACACGGTTTTTTTTACGCGGTTTTTTTTACAAGGTTATTTTTACACGGTTTTTCTCGATTTACACGGTACGTTTTTAACGATTTCTCGACAACGATACAACCTATCGACTTGATTCCAATAACATTATCCGTTTCAAGCTATAGGTAATCGAATGGCATGCTTAGAAAAAAAAAAAATTACAATTTTTGGTGTAAATACAGAAATTTTTAAAATATGTCTGTATGGACCATAGCATGCTATAATTACAAATGGCATCAAAATCCGATTTTTTTAAAGCATGTGAAAAATCAAAATCTCGTAGGTTTTTTTTTACACGTTTTTTTTATCCCCCGTGTAAAAAAAGACCTGAGTGTACCAGAAAAATGTTCCCACAATACCATTCCAATACATAATTCTGCAAATACAATAATAACAAAATACCCCACAGGTATTCTTTTGGTATCCAAATATCAATTTTTGCTATTTAGAAAGTATTTTGCATACATTTTTTGGTATTCTACCTCTTATGTCAGTCTGATAAACTCCAAATTTTGGTATCAGTTCAGAATTAGGTAGTCATAAGTTATTTTCTCCTGTAGGTTGTGCATAAAAGTGCTGCGGTTTTCTGAGGGGAGAAGTGCTGTATTAAGCAATATAATAACATTTAAAATCATTGTTAAAATTCTTATTTTTAGGCCATCGATCGCGATGACGGTGTTCACGGTCAGATAAGCTACTACCAAATTGGTGAAATCAAAAAAACACTAACTGAAGGATTGGAAAATGTGCAAAAACCACCGTTTCTGGTCGACCGCCGAACCGGAGCTGTTCAATTAAATTTCGACCCACAAAAGGGCATGAAAGGCTATTTCGACTTTAAAGCTTTAGCCAACGACAGCGCCGGTCACACAGACGAGGCTCATGTATTCATCTACCTGCTGAGAGAGGATCAAAGAGTAAAGTTTGTCCTTCGTTTGCAACCAACAGAAGTGCGGGAGAAAATTTTCACTTTTCGAGAGTGAGTAATTTAGTGAATCGAATTTCACAATGAAATAACTTTTCGACGTTTTCCGGATTTTCAGCGTGCTGAGTGACGTGAGTAGCAGTATCGTAAACATTGACGACTTTAGAATACATGAAAATCGAGACGGGTCCGTGGACAAAACTAAGACTGACTTGTATCTTCATCTGGTGAACCGGCAGGATAATTCGATTTTGGAGGTTTCGGATGTATTAAAAATTGTAGACCAAAATATCGAAAAGTTGGACGAGCTGTTCAAAGTAATTACTCTATTGGGTTTGAATTGTTTCTTTGTCGTTTTAATGATGTGCCAATGTTTTCCTCTCTAGGAATTCAACGTTCTGGACACCCAGGCATCAGAGGCCTCATTTTTCGTGGCAGAGTTATCGGGCACACCGGTGGTAGTATGGTTATTCGTGTCCAATTTGTTTATCGGAGCACTACTGACGGTTGTGTTAGGATTGTGTGCCTCGCAACGTGCAAGCTATAGGCGACAGTTGCGGGCTGCTCGTGTTGCCAATTACGGTAAAATAGCGCGTATTTGATTAAAGCTGTAACTTCAAATGACTCTTATTTCTATCCTTAGCAGTAGCCCATTCGGATTTGGTGTCGCGAGGTGCTTTGAATTCAGTACCTAATACAAACAAGCACAGTATTGAGGGCAGCAACCCAATTTGGATGAAAGCATACGAAAACGAGTGGTTCAAAAATGATGACGATCTCACTAAGAACATTTCCGGACCAGAATCGATGGACGACAACATCATAAACACAGATGATTACGTATCAAAAATGTATAACACGGACAGGTATGATATCGTGAAGCAGTACAATTTATATTCTCAGATTGATAAGCTAACAAATGGGAACATACTCACCAAAAAACTGGAAACTACGGAGCTTTAATTTTTATGAGGTATGGTAAAAAATATAACTCATCAAAACGTTTCACCACTGTTGTAAACATTTTGTGCTGAAAGAAAATCCCACTTGAGTGGAAGCACTTAGTCTGTGCGTGGTCATTTCTAGTTAATTATTTTAAATTATAAAACATATTTTTGAGACATTGCTTAGAAATTTATCTTACTTTTCATAGGAGGTGACTGGAGCTTTGCTTTCGCTTTCTGCCGTGCTTTCTGTGTATAAAAGGATTAGGATCTTTTCAATAGTTCGATGAAGTGCATAGATGTTCTGATATCATCGTAGAATTGAGTGAAATTAGAAAAAATGGAGCTTGGATGAAATTAAGGAAGCATCGTAAATGTTGATGAAATTTTCTTAAACTCAGTGATTTTTTAAAATGTTTAGGGAACGTTGCATAGGTTACAGGATATACTTTCAGATATTCTCGTATAAGTTATTGGATTTTCTTTCAGATTTTCTCCCTAGACCGCATGAAGTATTCAAAAGATCTTGAGTTGGCTGAAAATATTCAGGATCAAGTATTATTCTGCAGATATTAAACTGTTTAAACATACACCTCCACACCAACCATTATAAAGAGCCTAGATGTTGTTAACAAGTTGTGTAATGTCGGTTTTGCACAAACCGAAGGCTTTTTTTTTTTTCCTTTGGTTTGTTTTTTCCGTCGATCTTGTTTTCCGTGCTGAGCACCAATGCTACCGACGTGCCAGGAAGGCAGCTCCCACACCTGGACCCTGCCTATCGACCCATCAACTCATGATCCGGGGACCAACGGCTTTACTTCCCATCCGAAGGAAGGCGTCATCAGAGATGCTATGCCTCAGAACATCCCGGCGGCACCGACTGGGATTGAACCTAGGCCTGCTGGGGTGAGAGGTAATCACGCTTATCACTACACCACCGGCGCCGTTGACAAACCGAAGGCTGCCAATGCACAGTGTTGCTTTTTGCCGTTTTCGCGTGCTTTTTTAATAGCTTCTCAAACATTGATTTTAGGGGTATAGTTTGTTCAAAAATGTTTTTGCATATCTTTTGATGTTTGGTGATTAATCCACCTAAAATTGAGATCAAAAATTATTTTTTCTTTTTTGATTCAGATAGAGACTTAACGTCTTCCAAAAATTTGTAGCAAATGTTATTTTAAGCAACATTGCTCAAAACACAAAATTTCTAGCACTTATATAATGCGAGATAAATATCGTTTTTCGTGAAAGGCCCCTTTATATCATGTTTTTCAGTATAACTGTTTTTCTAGACATCCTAGGAAAAGTGGAAGAGGCTGATAGGCAAACAGAAGGTCATCAAGATGGAGTGAATCAAGCGGGCCGCCATCCGGGAAGTTGAAGCATTTGAGTAAGGGTTGGTCGCCGGTAAGGGACAGTAAGTGCTGCCAGCAGATGAATCAAGAGGTATTCGAAACAAAATTGGTAAGAAATGTCCATTCAAATCGATTTAATACAGTTGAACAAATTTCAAAACTATATACGTGCCAGATTTGTAAATAATATTTTTTGAATCTGGAAGTGTGTTTATGATACCATTATCCATTTGATAAAGGTAGAGTGAACATGCGGGGCTTATTGTAAGTAAAAGTGACCTCGGAGTGGTCGTGAATTACCAGGCATTCTGAAATGGGTCACTGGAGCTGCAATAGAGCTAACACCTTCTAACTCCCGGACTAAACCTGCTTTAATTTAAGGAAATAAAAAGCAGTTTTCTTCCATAATAACACTGCCGGACAGTGGGGGTTAGATTGTACACACACACACACAACTGTTTTTCTAGACATCCTACAATTTTGGTTCTTTGTAACTATATTTTGCATGTTAAAACACATGCTTTTGCTGAACATTGTAACTCATTATCTCTTGAAACAAAAAAAGTTATTCTTAAATTATCGATATTTTGGGGGGTATTTGCTTCTCAAATATCTATTTCCGACGCGAATTGGCGCAGAAATCTATGTAGGGTTCTGAATCTATACTTATTTTACAGTCGAATAGTTTTTTTTTAACTAGTTCGTTTATTTACTAGGCTCAGTCGTGTGTGACACTTTGCGGAGCCAAAATCAGTAATGTTTGATTTACATTTTAAATAGCAGTATTTCTAGGTTAGTATTGGGTACCAATTACTCGTGGCGGGCTCGAGGTTAATGGGTAACAATTTCAATTGGAAAGATCTAGGTAGGAAACTGGTTTCTGAAGCCTCCTTCAGATACTACTCTCGGACGGTTGACCAAATCCTGACTGGGCAGGGGCAAGTAGCACAGGAACAGGAGGATAATAAGACTGGGACACAATGGCGGGAAATTGTTTGGAAAGGAGGGGATAGTCACATCAAACTCTAACATCAGACAAACAAAGGAATTCGTAGATCGCTTGCATGTAGGGAAGATCACGTGTTCCCAATACATCTCTTACTTCACGGAAGGGTTGTCTACCTCGGGCCACTAGGGTATCCAATAGTCGTGCTCTGGAGGCGTCATTACCCGGGCAATACCAAACTGCGTGATCGATGTCATCATAACCGGTTCTGCACCTACATATATTGCTGTCAACGAGGTTTATTCTATAGAGATGTGCGTCTAGCGAGTAGTGGTTGGACATAAGTCTTGATATCACTCGAATGAATCCCCGACTTACATCCAGACCTTTGAACCACGCTCTCGAAGAAACATTTGGAATAATGGAATGTAACCACCGCCCAAGAGAATTATTTGTCCAATCGTTTGGCCAACTTAAAAGAGAACTCTGACGTACTAATGGGAAAAAATCATCATCATCGTCTTCGTAGTTGGCAGCACCCTCTCAGAACCTTATGAAACTTTGTGGGTGTGGAGACTTAGCAATTTTAAGCAACTTTGCGTCCTTTTTTTTTTCAAAATTTATCTCGCCTAACATTTGATAAGGGTCAAAGTTTTTTGTCGATTTTTTTTTCAAATCGATATAGCTTAAAAATGACAAGCCCTACAAAATAGTGATGTATGGCGAACTTTTAGCAAATAATCTGAAATTTTATAAAAAAATTTAAATAAATTAAAAAATTGGTTTCTACATTCTAAAAAAATATATTTAAAAATTAAAAGTCATTTTCCCAAAAATGGTACCCCTCAGATTTGCTTGATATTTTTTCTCATGAAAGGCAATATAATTACCTAACTTTTCTTGATACATCGCAAAGTGGGCGCTTTTAAGGAAAAAAAGTTGTTCGAACAACAACTATTTCATGTTAATTTTTTTTTAGCGTGTTTCACTCAAAGTCGAATAGTAATACGCGCACAACCTTATTAAAATCCGTTGAAACTTAATGAGCATAAAGATTTTGACCTTTTGATAATCTGGGCGTGCTTAAAACAAAAATCTAGCCTAACATTTGAAAGGGCCTAATACAGAGGATTTTCCTGCATTTCGAATGGTGTTTTAATAAATAAAAACTCTAGTGTTTTTGTTTAGTGCCAAATTTATTTTCCTATAATTCTCCATACATAATTTGAGTTTTTCATTGATTATTAGTCTATCGGAAACAGAGTGAAATTTTTCGGAGTTTCCTTTGAATGTGAAAATCGCTTAGTAGAAATTATGTTTTGAGAAATAGGTACAGAACAATGAAATTTTTGTGTACCAGGTATAGTTTTTACATGACTGAACAGCTCCTTGAGTTCATCGGACATCTTTGTGTATTGATCATTTGATATGAAGCAGAAGTTCAATTTTGTTATGCTTGTATCTGTTTGTTTAACTGCCCAGTCATACAGTTCTTGTGGAGTTGTGATTGTGTTTCCATAATCTCGAGCAAAACTTGCTCTCTTTGCCATTCGTTTGAGAGTTCCTCCAATTGCGTCACATGGGCCTTTCCCATGAGACGTTGCGAAGAAGTGCCATTCTGCTTCCAATCCATACTTGGACTTGAAGTTGCACAAACTGGCAAAATTCTTTTTATTTTTGTAATGAGCCGCTGCTCCATCTGACATGAAAGTAATTTTTGTGAAACTAATAGATTGTTTAATGAAATCTAACAATTTTGATATAAATAATTGAACTGCTATTGTATCATGGGTCAATACTTCTGAAATAATAATAAAGCTTAAATTTTCCAACTTGTTTTCTTTTATGTAGTAAATTTCGAAAGGATGTATCGTAGCTTGATTATTGTTCCAATGATACCCCTGTGCTGAGTTTTGAATAATAAATGAATAATTTTCAGAAAAGTTGCAAATCACTAAAATTTCACCGTTTTGAAGAGAATTTTTTTTATTACTAAGGTAAGATGATTGCTCTTTATGAATAAAATCATGGGTTATGAGCTTTTCAACTTTTTCCGTCAAATATTGAACAAACTCATCTGCAGGTTTAATAATAGTTTCCAAATTACAACGGTCGGTAGTCAACCACTGTTGAAATAAAACTTCTTCCATATCATCTGCTTCTAATACTGATGTAAGTTCCCTCACGATACTATCTGTGGAAATGCATTCTTCACATGTACGATAAAAACAATCTATGGTTCTAATAGGACTACTGCAAAGTATTTTGTCTGCAATTTCTTTATATGAATCAAATTTTACACTATTAATAATCAATTTAACATTTTCATGTATAGTACAGACACATACATTATGTGTACCTGTACTATCCAACAGTATGCAATGCTTTGGTTGGAGCTGAGTGAACGAAGTAAATCCGATTTTAACACTTTTGTATTTCTCTTCAAAAATCATAAAAGCCTCTTTAAGAGACATCATCAATAAACGTTTCTGAACATGCTCTTTATATCCATTTCGATATTCAGAAACATAATCATTACTTCCTGGCATAGGCCTACTAATATCATCACTGTCAAAGAAATTTAAAACAATTTGTTTTTCAGTATCATTAAATCCATGACCACTTCTTGCTTTCTTACTACAAAGAATACCTTGTTCTCTGACTAGCCTTTTCATCTGTTTCACTGTATGATGGGGTGCATTAAACTCATTAACTATTTGATTCACTGACCATGATTTA